CATGCTGGCAAAACATGGCGCACGCAAACTTAGCTACCTACTCCGTCTTCAGCCTGCTCGCTCTATCGCGCGCTTGCAGGCAGTCAGACAAGACGAACTCCAATTTCGTGAGTTTCCGGGTCCGTTGGGGGAGTCGTTGACGTTGCACACGTCTTTTTGTGGTGACTCAAGTGCGGACCGAATCCGTGGGGGTGTTGCGGTTCTTCTTCCTCGAGTTTGTCAGGCAGCTGGAGAACGCGTGCGAAGCCACGCGGTGGCTCTTGTACTTGGTCGAGTATTGCATGTTACCGTCGAGTGTGGATCGCTATGCATGGACATCTTCAATGTACACAACCATGACCTGAAGAGAGCGCAGGTGAAAGAGATCGCCAGGATCATCCTCGAGGCCCGTGCTGCTGCGCTTCGCGCCCCCTCCCAGCGGCTCGCGCTGGTCGAGGGCGACTTCAATTCTGCTGCGGAGGAGGCGGTCGTTCCCCACATGCCTCGGGCCGCTGTGCGACGTGCTGCGAGACAACATCATGGGCAGGCCCAAGTCTGGCGCCAGGCCCTGTCGCAGCTCGGTGAAGTGGAGCGCGATATGGGGTCGCACTACGAGAAAAAGTCCAACTCTGAGGCCATTATTGATCGTCTCTTCCTCTCTCTTCCAGGGTGGGTGGTCTGCCGACGTCATCTCCAGGCCGCCACCATCGACTCTGCGGCGTTTGTTTCGGACTCGATCGTCTCGGACCACGCTGCCGTTATGATCACGATTACCCCCCGTTCTGCTCGTCCCCTTGCCCAGCGCCCTCTCGCCAAACATCTCTTCCAGGGCCCGAGGTGCCAGCAGCGTTTACGAGCGATGATTGAGTGCACTGACTGGGATAGCATGTCACCTCCTTACCGACTAGAGCACTACAAGTATCTCATGAAAGAAGCTGCGCGCGAAGCACGTGATAATGATTTCCAACGGCGCCCCCACCACCCGCCCACCCTGCTCCAGCTTGCTCGCTCATTAGCCAGAGCGGTGCGGCGTCAGGATGCGAAGTTGGCATGGAAGCTTCTGGGGTCCAATCCCGTGTCGTCTGACTTCATTCGTGTCCAAGGCCGCGTGGTGGAGCGGTTGCATCTTGAGTCTTCTCACGCGTGGTCGGACCGACTCCAGTGGGAGGCGGCGGAGCGTGCGCGGGCTGAGCTGCAAGGAAGAAAGGATTCGTCTCATGAAGTGCGTGCCACTCGGTTGCAGCTTCGATCGCTGGAGAGACGGGCTCGTCTGTGGTCTCCGTTAAACCGTCGAGTATGCCTGACGGCAGTCACCGATGAGCATGGCCGCGCTGCGCGCGACCCCTCCGAACGCGTGGGCCTCCTGAAGAGCTACTGGGCCCCCGTGTTCTCCAAGAAATCTTGGGGCCGCGACAGGGCGATCGAGTATGCCGCTCAATACTTACCTGCTGTTGATGAAGCGGTACTTCCCCCTCCGACCCCTCGCCTCCTGCGTGCTGCGCTTGCGCGCGCCGCCGACTCTGCGACTGGATCGAGGGCGAGGCCCAAGCCGGCCAGGTCGAGAGGGGAGCGGACAAGGTGGGGGCGCTCGGTCTCCGCAACTGCGACGTGAAGGTCCTCTCCGCCACCGTGAGTGCTGCCCCTCGCCCCGTCCTCGAACGTGTCGCCCCTCCATGTCAAAGGGGCTTTGCTCCAGGGCGTAACTTCGGCCTGAATGTGCTGGGGCTGGACGTGTCGAGCCGCCTGCTCTCTTGCGCACCACATCGTTCGCGGGGCCTACCTATTCTTTACAGTTTGGACTACGACCAGGCCTTCCCTTCCCTGAATCAGGAGCTCCTGCTGTTCATTCTGGGGGCTCTTCGTCTTCCAGAGGCTATCCTGATGTTCGCTGGCCTCCTTTATAAGGCCATCGAGGGCATCACGATCTCCATGGGGCTCCGTGTTCACCTGTGCTGGGTCCGCAGTGGGATCATCCAAGGTTGTGCGTTGTCGGGCTCGCTGCATGCCATTGCGTCATCCCCGTTCTTGTGCCACCTCGTCCGCGTGACCGAGGAGGCAGGCCGCGGGCTCGTGCGTGCGTGCGCCGACGACATCGGCGGCACTCTGGTGGCCATTGAGGACACGGCCTGGGTCGCCCTCGCGATGAGGGATGCGGAGTTGATTGCGAACCTTGTCTTGAAGATTCAGAAGTGCCACGTGGTCCCTCTATCAGCCTCCTTTACTCCTGCCCTCGCCATGGAAGCACTGGGGAGGCTCTCCCAGGCTGTGCCCCACTGGCCCTCCATGAAGATCGTCTCGGAGCTCCTCTATCTTGGGATATGGCTTGGTCCCTCCGTAGACCCAATGAGACCCTGGGCTGGCGTCGGGCGAGGCGTCACCCCTGCCAGCCTCTCTGCCATCATCTACATAACGCGTATTATCAACACGCTATCTTACGTCAGTCAGTTCTTTGGGATGCCGAGAGATGCGCTTGCTTGTGAATTAGGAGTGCCCGCACATGTTTACCGCGAGGCCCTGGGCACCTTCCCGCTGAATGCTTGGGTGCAGTTGGACCTCTGGCAAGGACCGCGGGTACAGCGCTGGGCCCATCTCAATCTAGAGCAGCTGCTGGTCGGCATGCGGACTCACGTTGAGGCGCTGGCTGACTCCAGGACGCTGGACATGGTCGGCACGGGTGCACTCTACCCTGGCTTCTGGCGGAGCCCCGCCATTGTCGAGAACCTTGCGCAGGCCCTGGGCGGCCCTGCACCTGCGGGGCCCTGGGCCGCACTTCTGCCCTGCGCTCGTGATGCTCTTGCGAAGGCCGCGGGTGTCTCACCTGGCGTTCGAGTTCGACCTCAGCGGACTGTACATCGTGCTATTCGTGATCTTGCGGCTCGCGTGGCACCACTCCGTGATTTCCTGCGCATGCGGCTTCAGAAGTTCTTTTTTCCGACGGCACGGTGCCCTTCTCGACCAGCTCGACTGGCAACATATCTCCACCACGCTCAGCCAATGCCCTTGCTCCTGGGCTTGGGCGACGCTGAGGACCTGGTGCGATGGCTGGCTTACTTCCTCGCGCATTCTCCATCCCGCGGGGAAGCGTGGATGTGCCTTTGGATGCCACAAATGCGCCGACTCGCTCATCCACTACTCGCGGTGTCTTCGCATGCATGCCGCACTACGTCGCGCCCTTGGCCATGGCTTCCCAATGGGGCTTGCGGAGAGATGGGGTCTCGCGTCGCCCTCAACCTCCGCCTATGGCTTCATTGCAGCTGTGAGCATGTGCAACACGGTCCGCCTGATCCCCGATTGGCCGATCTCAGAGCAGGACGCATGCAGTGCTGCGCTTGCGGGGGCGAGGAGCATGCGCATGGCCGCTACTGCTGTGCTCTCGGACGACGCGCCGCCGCGGTGGCACACCCGCTTTCTGACCCGACGGAGACGAGGCTCGTCTTCCTCATCGTCTACCACCTCGACCTCTGTTTCATCCCCGACGTGTGGGTGTGCGAGCGGTACGGACTTGGATGACGGCCCTGGCCTTACGCCGATGCTGATTCCCGAGCCGCATGACACGGATGCCGATGATGATGAGTTGGTGTCGTTCGGCTTGTGCCCACGCACGCCGCTGGCGACACCTGGCACGCCCTCGGCGGCTGTGGCTACCCCCGGCCGCGTCGGCCCCTTGCACGCTCTGTATTACGGCGACTGGGTGTTGCCGACGGCTATTGATGTCAGAACGCAAAGTCCTGTCAGCGGGTGCTCCTCGAGCCCGTCTGGTCAGGCTGCTAGAGTAAGTTGCGAGGTTGAGTCTCGGCCGCGCAGAGGTGCCCCCACATGGCACGCTATGAAAGGGGCGAGGTCAGAACGCAAAGTCCTGACGGCGGGTGCTCCTCGAGCCCGCCGCCTCAGGCTTCTCGAGTAAGTTGCGAGGATTTAGCTGGAATGGCGTGCGGGTCTCCGCTGTTGGACCCCGCGACGGCTGAAGTGGTCAGAACCCAAAGTCCTGTGCACGAGTGCTCCTCGAGCCCAGTGCTTCAGGCTCAAACAAATTGTGAGGAGGATGTCGCGACTCCCGTACCGTCCAGGGCTGCCATATGGTCGAGGCGTGGATGGGTCTGGTCGGCTACCCCACGGAGCTCGGCACCGTGCCCGCAGACGTGGTCCTCATCGACCCTGAGTGCTGCTGCACCATCGCTGGCCCCTCCATCGACTGCGCCAACCGCCTCTTCGGGCTCGGGGCCAGTCTTTTATCAGATGCAGGCCCACGCCATAGCTGATGCTCACGACGCCCCGCTTGAGGCCCCTTCGGATTCCCGCATTCTGAGTGCCCCTGAGGATACCCATGTGGGCGCTCTGTCTGGCTCTGAGCTGGGACCTGTCTGGCCTGCTGAATGTTTGGATGGCTCCCCCCACCCCAGCTGTGCTTGCACGCCTCTTTCCGACGTGCCTATCGCCCGTGCTCGCGCCGCTCCCTCTCCTGCTCCACGTGGCGGCCTGTTTGGGGTCCGCAACACGCGTGGCTTGGAGACCTCAGGAGAAGGGGTCCACCTCCAGCCCGCGTCTGGAGCCAGTGCTTGGCGCCCTTTCGACGCTAATTGTCTGGCCTCTCGCCCGCCTGGCCCGTCCATCTCCTCCCGCCTCCCTGCGCTCGAACCTCCTGCTGCTGCCCCCCCCTCCGCAAAGAGCTGACCGCGCCACCGCGGTGCATCCTGGCGCCGACCCAGGCGCGCCCACCGCCCCGCCGCCGCCCGCGTCGGGCGGGCCGTAGGTGGGATCGGGATTCTTCCCTCTACGGTCTGCTCCTCCTCCTCCTCCTCCTCCTCCTCCTCCTCCTCCCCCTCCTTATCATCATCATCATCATCATCAGCATCATCATCATCATCATCATCATCGTCCTCCTCGTCCTCCTCATCCGATCCCTCTGGTCCTCTTCTTCCTCCTCTCTCCTCTCCTCCTGTGCTCTCATCCTCCCTTCCTCTCTCGCTCTCTCTCTCTCTCTCTCTTTCTCTCTCTTCCCCCGCGCAAGAGACCATGTGCAGGAGCGCGCGGCCGCCGGGTCCGAGCCCCGATCCTTCGGGAAGGCGATGCTGGACCAGTGCCAGGCCTGCGGGGTGCCGCGGTGGCCCCTCCCGCTCGTCTTGCCCCGCTCGCGTGCCCCCTTGTTTCCCAGTCATGCTCGCATCACAAAACAACCACGATGGGAGGTTTGTTTGCCGATTTCGCAAGAGGAGGAGAAGGAGGAGGAGGAGGAGGAGACGGAGGAGGAGGAGACGGAGGAGGAGGAGGAGGAGGAGGAGGAGGAGGAGACGGAGGAAACGGAAGAGCCCCTCGCGGGCCCCTGGACCCACAGAAAAAAAGCTCGGGACGACAAACCCGGCCCTGGGGACAGGGGCTTGGACCTTCGGGGGGCCCCGCATTGAACACAGCAGGGCGTCGTACGCCTGGGTCGGTAGAAGTCCTGTTTGTGTTCGGCCCCTCCCCCTCCCCCCCTCCTCCTCAGCCAGCAGCGCAAGAGACAGTCCCCAACGCGGCAGTAGTCCTCGCCCGATGGACGTTCGGGCGGTGGTCTGCAGAACGAGGCAGGAGCTTCGGCGAGCCCCAGCGTTGTCTCGCGAGCTGCGCCCGGTGCGTTCTATGCCAGCGATGCTGCGGATGCATTGCTCGAGCACGAGCTTGGAACACAGGATGGGGGGGAGGAGAGGCAAGATATGTGCCCCCCTCACGCATTCAGCCAGGGTGAGGGCCGCCACGAAGCAGCGGAGGTACAGGGCCCTAGAAGCAGAGCGCCAAGCGCAATTAGATGCTGCTCCCACACCGTTCCCGTTCCAGCGAGCGAGCTGCCAAACAAAACACACACTGGCGTCAAAGGTATAGCGTTACAGCTGACAAGAGGGTTAAGAAGAACCCTAGCTTCGGAGGGGTGCCCTTGTGGTGTTCGTCTTTGGGATCTCTGCCTTGGAATGTTCCTCGCTCCGGGTACATCCATGGGGGCTTGGGCTTTCGGCGAAAGGGCTCAGCTTCTTGACCCACGCTCTTGTATATCGAAGACGCCTACGGCGAGTCACCGCTTTTTGGAAATGCCTGTGTCGCTCAATGTTGAGCGAACGTGCAGCCACGCCAGTGGACTGCGGGCCCCCCCAGTGGATGGGGAAACCATTTTGGGAACCACTGGGGAGGGGCTGTCTTGGGACTGTCCTTGATACGTCGGAAGCCTTCGAGACATCGGAGATGTAGGCCTATCGAAGGCGCCTGCGACGAGTCTCTGCGGGCCCCTTGCCCCTTTGGGGGACTCCCGCGAGGTGAAGTGCCGGCAGCAGGTCAGGCTGTACTAGTTGGCGGCTAGGTGCTGCCCCGGCGGTAGGGGAAACCACCGCGGGGGAAACACCCGGGCAGAGCCATTTAGGGACTCGTTCGGGACGCAGATGAACAGCAATGCAAGACTCACCCCAAATTACTAAAAACGAGCGGACAACAACATCGACCACAACGCACGCACAAGAGGGACGGAGGGATAGCACGATCCACTCCAGCGCTTGGGGCCTCCTGGGCCGTCGTTCGGGGCCCCGTGTCCTGCCTTTGGGGGCTCCTTATGGGGCCTCTCTGGGCCGTCCCGGGGCCCTCCGGAGGTCGTGGGAGGCTGTCTTGGGGCTGTCTTGGGGACCTCTCGGGCGTCCGGGCGCCCCTTTGTTGCCGTCGGGGGGCTCTCTTGGAATCTTTAGGTCAGGATGTTCCGACCTGCTCTAGCCTTGATCGCCAGAAAAGTTGTCGAGCACCAGAAACAGTACCGAAACTCTGGGGTTTTCACGTGTCGGGCCCTGCTTCGACACTGGTTCGAAACTCTTTCGGCACTGTTCTGGATGCCCGAGATCATTTCTGGGACGTGGTCCTTAAGTGCGATGGGAGCAGCATAACCCTTAGGCCGTTTTGGGGTTACATTGGGGGCCTCTTGGGCTGTCATGAACGCTCGCACGACCGATCAGGAGAGAATCCGAAATTCACTGCGCAAACCTGTTTCTTCATGCTTATATCCAGGGTATGTGTCTCATTATGGACATCTGCTACGCGTGTATGCCATCCTTCCTTCCTTCTCCATCCTTCTCCTCTCGTGCCGTGACCACCACTCGCCGTGGTCAACAGCAAGTACTACTAAGGTCTTACGACCAGTGCCGCTGGACGACGACCCCCACGATGGAAGAGGCAATCGGGAAGGTCGGGATCAGACGCTCCCAATGCCCAAGAAGCTACACAAAGCCCCCAAGAGGTGACCAAGAACCACCTACGAAGTTTGGGGGTGTCTTGGGAGGCTTTTTCTCCTCCATCCGTCCTCCGCTCTTGCCGTGACCATAACTCGCCGTGGTAAACAACAAGTATCCAGGCTTCATTAGCTGCCGCCTGCTGCGGGCGGCTTGGATAAGCAGGCGGGGACGATCTTTGTAGGCAGTTGCCCAGCAGAGAGGAGGAGGAGGAGGAGGAGGAGGAGGAGGAGGAGGAGGAGGAGGAGGAGGAGGAGGAGGAGGAAGAGGGGGAGGAGGAGGATGCGGACAAGGAAGAGGAGGAGGAAGAGGAGGAGGAGGAGGAGCAGCAGCAGGAGCAGGAGCAGGAGGAGGAGGAGGAGCAGGAGGAGGAGGAGGAGGGGAAAGGAGGATGCGAAGTGGAAGGGGAGGAGGAGGAGGAGGAGGAGGAGGAGGAGAAGGAGGAGGAGAGGGATCAAGGGAACGCTAACATGGGTTAAGGAGCGTGGAGTAGCGGTGGGTCCCGTGCCCATTCGACATCGCCGCGCGTTGCCGCCGATTTCGGCGGCACTGGCCTCATATGTACGGGTGCATTCGCCGATGCGACTCGATGTGGAGCTCGAATTTCTTCACGGCCGGCGTCGCCGACGCATCGCTGTGTCACCTGCGATACATCGGCGATGTATCGGCGATGCGGCGCGACGATCCTCCGACCCCATCTACTCGGACTCCATCAGGGAGGTCTCTGGGGGCGGAGGGGGCGGAGTGGAGGGCGGGGCGGAGGGAGGGGCGGTTGATGGACGAAATCCTGCACCTGTTATGCTGATTGTCGTGGACAACCCCAGCGCCACCCATGTTATTCTTGGCGGGTTGCGCCGCGACGTGCCGATCTGTCGACATTCCCTTTCCCAGACCCCCGACGTCGTGTTTTTGTTTGTTCTTTCTGTTCACAACGTTCAAGCACGCGCAGAGGGGGCTGAGGGGAGGGGAGAGGGCTTCTTAGAAGCACCCCTGCTTCTTAGAAGGCGCGGGCCTTGTCTGTAGATACAGAGCCGCCGCCTTCTAAGAAGCAGCCTCCTCCAGAGAAGCCCTCCCCCCTCCCTCCACCCCCTTGTGCGCGCCGCCAAAACGTCGACCCCCAGAGTGGACCCCTTCCTCGGGAGCTGTTTCTCACCCTGAGCCGTTTCTTGCCCGGTGAGGGCCCCGGGAGGCCGACAATAGCGACCAGCCTCCCGTCGCGATTTCTGCTCACAACGCAAGGGCGTCTGGGCTGGGAGGCCTCCGCTGCCAGCGGCGGCCCCGCCAGGCCTGGCAGAGGGCCTTCCGGGCGGACCCCGGCGCGCGCGACGCCGCGCTGGGCGAGCTGCTGGCCGCGGCCGGGGCCGCGGGCGCGAGCGGGGCCGCGCCGTCGGGCGGCCGAGGCCTCGGCCCGCCGGGGGGGGCGGAGGGCACGATCGGCACGGGCACGGGCAGGATCGGCGGTGGCACGGGCACGGAGGCGGCGGCAGCTCAGTGGCCGGCACGATCGGCTCAGTGGCCGTAGACGGAACGCAGGGGTACCCCAGGCCCCCTCGCAGTGCGAGCAAGATCCGGACGGGAGGTTGCTCACGATGTGCGGCCTCTGGGGGCCCCTTACCGGGCCTCGGGGCCGTCAGCAAACGGCGCAGGGTGGAAGCCAGGTCCCGGAGAGGGGTCCAGACTTTGGGGGTCGACGTTGTTCAAAAATCTTGGGAACCATCGGCACGGGAACGGAACGCACGGGTCGAAGGAGAAACATTGCCTTAGACATAAACTGTTGTTAATCCGCGCGGTTTCTTGTCCCCGCGCGGGCCCCCCCCGGCGGCGCCTGTGGCGCCGCCCTGGGCGCGCTCCGCGCGCCAGGGAGGGGGGTCTAGCTCAGATCCAAGAAATCCGCGCGGAGCGCCAAAAGTGTATGTTGATGGCGTTCTTTCCCTACCTAGGCTCTGCCTAGAAGGGTTCTTACTCTCTTGGCTTAAAGGGGCTGGGCAGTGTAATGCGCCCCGGGCGGTTCCCCCAGGATCCGCCCCGCGGTTCCCCCAGTTGCGTCCCCTTAGCTTAGCGTTGCTTATCTAATCTTAGCTTGGCTTATGCCATCTTAGCTTAGCTTAGCTTCATCTTAGCTCAGGTTTATATTAGCTTAGCTTACCTTCATCCTAGCTTCGCTGAGCTTTAGCATAGCAGAGCACAGCATTGCATAGCGTAGCATAGCACAGCGCAGCATAGCATACCGTAGCTTAGCATAGCATAGCGCAGCATAGCGCAGCATAGCATAGCATAGCATATCACAGCATAGCATTGCATAACGCAGCTTAGCATAGCATATCATAGCATAACTTAGCATATCATAGCACAGCGCATCATGACATAGCATCGCATAGCTTAACATTTCATATCATATCATATCATGTCATAGCATAGCATAGCACAGCATAGCGCAGCTTAGCATAGCATAGCATGGCATAGCGCAGCATAACATGGCATAGCATAGCATAGCATAGCATAACAACTACTGCTGCTTTCCTAGGGGCTCCAACTTCTAGGTAGGGTCGCACTGGGGTAATTGCCCTTCTATCATAGTTCGAGGACCGACAGCGATTCAGTCAGAGGGGAAGGGAACCCACACCGCTAGCCCTCGCCCGTTTTCCCCTTTCCCGGCCTTATCGGATGTCCTCGTCGCCACCGCTGGATTCGCCTCGAAATCTTGGTCAGAACGCACTCTGGGAGAGGTCCAGGGAGTAGCAGTATTGGTACCTTCTGGTTTACCCAGCATGAGTTCGAGGATCGATAGCAGGTCATGCTCATAGCATACCTCATCTTTCTCCTCCTTCTCCGTCCCGCCGCGGGCGGTCCTCGGAGGCGCGATGCACGGCCCTGGAGCAGTTGGGAGCACCGCTTGGGGATGGGATCTCCCGCCTTGGAGATATCGCCCGCCATTTGGCACGATCGGAATGGGTACGAAAGGAATGTGTACGAGGACCGACATCAGTTCCTGCTCCTTCGTCAGGGCATGTCGACGCTGGAATTGAAGAAGACAGATCGTCGGCGACCTGTGCACCGAAAGCGGTCCCCCGTCGACATGGGTACGGACAGAATGGGCACGCAGACCGACAGCAGTTCCTGTTCATGATGAACAAGACTCGCTGCCGATGTCCTTGCGGATGCTGTCCATTGGAGACGGGCTGCCAGTTGCCCAGCAGCGGCCTTGGGGGTTTTGGACAGCATTTGTTGTTGGGCATTGTGGCCATGTTTTTCGTACCCATTTCGAGCGTTCGAAGGTAGCCCAGGTTTCCCAAGTGGGCGACGCAGAACGTGGGATCGATTGCCCAGGCATTCGCGCGCAAGCTGCCCACGTAAGGTTGCATAAGCGCTTGCGTGTCCAATGCAGCGTTCCGGGCTGGTGGCTTGCGCACGACACCGCGTGAGGCATGTTTCTTTTCGTCGCTCGAATGGGGTCCGAGCACATGGGGTCGGAGGTTCGCGCCGCATCGACGATGCATCGGCGATGCTGCTCGATGTGGAGCTCTATGTCCCCCACGCCGACGTCGCCGACGCATCGCCGTCGCCGATGCATCGGCGATCCGGCGCGATCCTCCGACCACATCTGCTCCGGCCCCATTGTCGAAGCCTCGCAGTTGGGAGAGGCTGGGTGGACCCAGACATGCTCGCGTCGTGAGAAAACCACGGCGGAAGGTTTTTGGCAGCTTTCGGCACCGGGGGGGCCCTCGCCAGGCCCCGGGGCCGTCGGAAAAGCATCCCGGATGAAGCACCGGTCTTGGGGGAATGGGTCGAGCCGTCCAGCGTTCCACGCATGGAGAAGATCAAGTCATCACATGGCTCGCAGGAGGAGGAGGAGGAGGAGGAGGAGCAGCAGGAGGAGGAGCAGCAGGAGGAGGAGGAGGAGGAGCAGGAGGAGGAGGAGGAGGAGGGGGAGGCGGAGGCGGAGGAGGCGGAGGCGGAGGGGGAGGCCCCCAGGAGGACACCTCGGCGCGGGCGGCACGTCGGCACTCCCCGGGTCAGCTGACATCCGCCAAGACGTCGCCTGCGCAGGGGCGGCGCGGCGGGCCAGGGGCGTCGGCCCCCCCGCACTCGAGCGGTGGTCCCGCTGTGTCACGGGTAGGGGGTTGCATGCGAACCCTGCCCCTGCCCCTCACGACTTCTGAGGGGGAGGGTGGGGTTCACTTCGCTCTGGAGCTCCCGAACGAAGTGAACCCCGCCTTCCCCGTTAGAAATCGTGGGGGGTATGGGGTAGGATTCGCATGTGGCCCCCCAGCGGGTCTGCCGTCTCATGTTCCTCGGGGGCCCGGCGTTCTGGGGCAGCGAGGGTAGCTCCTTTTGGGGCGGTTTGGATCTCGGTCCGCGTCGGCCTGCGTGGTTTTTGCCTTTGTGAGGGGAGGCTCCAGCCAGTGAGTTGGCCCTCCCGTGACGTCGCGGGGCAACGGCGCGGCTGGCAGGTTGGCCTGCGGACGCGGCTCAAGACGTGTACCGCCTGACCGACCTTGGGCAAGGGGACCTGCGGGGGCGGGCCAGGTCACCCACGCGCGGAACCACGCGCCGTGTGCCCCGCATGGCGACGTGGTAGCTTGTGTCCCGTGGCGCTTGTAGAGCCAGGGAGGCGTGGGGACGCCCGCCCTCGGCGGGCTGGTGGTGCTTATCGCGGTCTTCGTGGTGAGACTGGCGCCTCTGCTTTTTCTTCTTCTCGTCGTCCTCTTTCTCTCCTTCTCGTGCACTGCCACGAGGGTGCGGCCCCTTGCTCCAGGAGGTCGCGGTGTGTCGGGGTCGCGGGGCTGGGCGTTTGGCTCCGCCCCCCGCTCCCCCTCCCGACGGCGGGCGTGACTAGACTTGTCGCGCTCCTGGGCTGCGTCGACGAGGAGGAGGAGGAGGAGGAGGAGGAGGAGGAGGAAGCGGAGGCGGAGGCGGAGGCGGCGGCGGAGGCGGAGGAGGAGGAGGAGGAGGAGGAGGAGAAGGAGGGAGGAGGAGGGCGCGGGGCGGAGGCGGAGGCGGAGGCGGAGGCGGAGGAGGAGGAGGAGGAGGAGGAGGAGTAGGAGGAGAGGAGGGGAGGAGGAGGAGGAGGAGGAGGTGGAGGAGGAGGTGTGGAGGCGGGGGCGGAGGCGGAGGCGGAGGCGGAGGCGGAGGCGGAGGCGGGGCGGAGGAGGAGGAGGAGGCGGAGGCGGAGGCGGAGGCGGAGGCGGAGGAGGAGGAGGAGGAGGAGGAGGAGGAGAGGAGGAGGCGGAGGCGGAGGCGGAGGCGGAGGAGGACGAGGACGAGGACGGGTGAAGAAAGAGGGGGAGGAGGAGAGGAGGAGGAGGAGGAGGAGGAGGAGGAGGACGAGGAGGAGGAGGAGGAGGAGGAGGAGAGGAGGAGGAGGAGGAGGAGGAGGAGGAGGAGGAGGAGGGAGGGGGAGGGGAGGGAGGGGGAGCGGGGGGGGGAAGGGAGGGGGAGGGGGAGGAGGAAAGGAGGAGGAGGAGGAGGAGGAGGAGGAGGAGGAAACAGAGGAGACGGAGGAGGGCTTTGAGGAGGAGGCGGAGGAGTCAGGGCTGGCGGGGGGAAAGCAAATTGGGGGACGCATCGACCCCCATTGGCACATTCAGCGCCCATAAGGGGCTTGGCCCAGGACTGCGCGGACAGGAGGAGGAAGAGAAGGAGGAGGAGGAGGAGAAGGAGGATGACGAGGAGGAGGAGGAGGAGGAGGAGGAGGAGGAATAGGTCGAACAACATGTTTTTACACAAGCGAGCTCCGGGGTGCCACCCCCCGGCGGCGCCTCAAGTGGCGCCCCTGGCGCGTTCCGCGCTCCAGGCAGGGGGGTTAAGGCCGATCCAGGAAATGCACGCGGACCTCCGAAAGTTGATGTGCATGCTATCTTATGTTCCTCGAGGAGGAGGAGGAGGAGGAGGAGGAGGAGGAGGAGGAGGACGAGGAGGACGAGTAGGAGGGGGGGGGAGTTCCTCGGGGGAGGGCTTCCGCGGCCAAGTGTGCCTTGTGCCCCGGTCAGAAGTGCCCCTTCGTCCTGTCCTCCGCCTCTCCCCGTTCCCTTCGTCGGCCACCTGCATGTTCTTGGCGTTTGCGCCCTCCCTGGTGGGAGATCGCCGCTGGGGGTGGGGTCGGCTGCGCCTGCTGCTGTGGTGCCGAAGCCGTCAGCGCCGAGCGAGGAGGAGATCCGTAGTTTTGTGGATGTGAGCAGCGCGCCGTGAGGAGGATGTGGAAGGACCGAGGGGCGCGCAAGGGCCGCAAGGGCGGAGTGGATAGGAGGAGGATCTGAGTAGGAATAAGTAGGAGATAGAGTGGATAATCGATTCACAACCAAGTTGTTTTTGTTTGTCGGATCCATGACGTACGACGTATTGTGAGGGCGTGACGGCCGGCGCCGCCGACCCTGAAAGACATCGACGACGACCAGGAGGGGGAGGAGGAGAAGGAGGAGGTGGACGAGGAGGAGCAGGAGGAGGAGGAGGAGGAGAAGATAAGGAGGAGGAGGAGGAGGAGGAGGAGGAGGAGGAGGAGGAGGAGGAGGGGGAGGTGGAGCAGGAGGAGGAGGAGGAGGAGGAGGAGGAGGAGGAGGAGGAGGAGGAAAAGGACCTCCCCCTGGCCCCCCCCCCTGGGGATGAGGGATGAAGACCGGGCGGGGATCAGCGTGGGAGAGGGGAGGGGCGGGGGAAGAGGACCCCCAGGGACGAATGCGTATCTGATTCCCCTCCCCCCCCCCCTTGAGGCTCCTCCCCACCTGGGGAGGACCCGAGCAGGACCAGCGCGCTGGAGAAGGACCGGCGGCGTGGGGGACGAGGACCCCCAAAGGCCGATGCGAATCTGACCCCCCCCGCACAGGACCCCCCCCCGCCGGGGAAAGGACAAAGAGAAGAGGTTTCCCTTTGACGCAATGAGGACGTGGATGGGATTCCCTCAGGCTGGGAACCCGTTCCCCGAACGAGGAAGGGTGTTTTTTTGTTGTCTCTCTCTCTCTCTCTCTTTCGGTTTCTTTCATTCACCCGACTGGAGAGGAGGATGGGAAGGAGGGGGCGAAAGAAGGCTCCTTGTCGACGGGACAGGACAGACACCCCACACACACGCCGACAGGGTCGGTCGGATTTGTTTGTAGATTCGACTCGAAGATCTGGTTTGGGGTACATCAGTTCTGTAGTCGGTCTCCTACTCGAGGGAAGAGCAACATGAGGAAGACGAGGAGGAGGAGGAGGAGGAGGAGGAGGAGGAGGAGAAGGAACATGGGCGAGCGGAGGGAGGAAATGGCACGTTGCGACAGGCACCCCACACGGTGTTGGCATGCGTGTCAGCTCGCCGTGGTGTTGGGATGGGTGGCCTGCCCTTGGCCTGGTGGTGCGCTGCCGTTGTCGGTCATCCATCCCCAAGTGGCCTGCTGTCAGCATCCTCAGCTTCAGCTAAGTACGTAGAGTAGGAAGGGGGGGAGGGAGAGGGAGGCGGCAAGCTGCGCACGACGAGGGGTGCGAGGGGCGCCCGAGAGGATAGGATGGGGCGACAGTTTCTCCCGCCACCTCGGGACAGGGGTCCTTCTCACTTGGCCTTGACGCAGCCCGTCGATCGAGCGTGGCGCCGTTGGCTATCCTGGCTGCCCGCGGCAGCGACTGGAGAGGGAGGAGACGGGCAGGGGCCGTCCTGGCGCCGGCCCCTTCGTGCGCCTCCCTGGCGCGCAGGTGACAACCCCAGCTGACGTCGACCCGGTGCCTGACGGGGAAGGTGAGGAAGCTCTGGAGGTGTGCCTGCCGGATAATGACCACAGCGATAGCAACGACAACGAAAACGGCGACAATGATTGTTATCGCTGTCGATCGCTATCCCTGATGTTATTGTTGTGATCGTTGCTCTCGTTGTTCTCGTTGCTTCCGAGACGGCTGGCGACGAGCCCAACCTTGTTCTTGCCATCGCTGTTGCTCAGGCCTACCGCTGGCACACCAGATAAGAAATCGACTGCCAGCAGGTGCCCCACAGGGATTTCTCGTTCCTTGACGACACCAAGCGCCTGATGGAGTTCTGGGGCATCCCGCGAAGTTCAAAATCGGCCGAGCAGTGCGCCACTAGGTTTGTTACAGCGGGATCGCCAACAGGAGGGGGCGGCGAACAAGGAGAGGGAGGAGTACTCTAGAATGCGATGACCCCGATGCCTCTCCACATGTTGGTCCTCTGCGCGACCCCACTGCAGTGTGCGGGGGTGTCCTTGAGCGCCTGCCTAAAGTCGTAAACTGGAGCCTATACATTACCAGTGTTGGGTTTTTTTTGCGATCCCTGGAGTTTGGAGGATCGGGGGCGACGTCGGGTGTGTGTGGTGTATACATACTTGTTTCCCCGCTCTCCCAGGAAACAGTGGACATGTATGCACCAGGGTCCCGTATACACCAGGCTCCGCTCTTCTGCGCAGTGCAGGGCCGCACAATAACGTCGGTGTATAGAGTTCGGCTCCCTATAAAGCCGCGGAGAACGATGCGACTGCTGGGGGCCACAACGTGATAGGATACAATGCTGTGCTGCTATTCCCCCTTCTTCCATGCGTCCCCTCCTGTCCCCAACAGTCGCCGCAACTTCAATGAAAAAGCATGCCAGATGAGTGATAAGCGCAAGACAACACTACTAGAGGACCTTGCCCATCCCCGCGGGTCTCTCGGAGCTACGGGTGTGCGGTGGTTCGCAATTTAGCTTAACCTTCCCCGGGCTCTTGGCCGAGCTAATTGCTGGACGAATGCCCCAACAGGGTGCTGGAAGCTCTTCACTCTTCTCGCCCCCCCCTTCCCTTTCCCCACCTCCTCTCCTACACAAATGCGGTTTCTAGACGGCGGCGAGCTGGCCCAGCGTCTAGATCGACCCTTTCTGCCCCTGCGGCAGCGTGCTGGCCCATCGTCTGGCCCGGCCCTTCGAAGCCCGGGGCCAGACACGCGTCTGGGAAGTGTGCCAGCATGGCGCCGCAAGATCTTCACTCCTCCAGTCCCTTGCACCTCTCTCCTCACCTCGCCCATCTGGCCGCTCCCTCAGAACGTGGCCGACTCGAGGCAGCGCGCCAGCCCGGCGTCTAGATCGGCCCTGCAAGGCCCCAGATTCAGGAGGAAAAGAAACACACAGACACAATTAATCCTGGATTTCCCAGAAAATATGGGAAAATATGGGAAGTGGGCGGGAAGACAGAAACCTAGAAAATATGGTAAAATATGGGGGATTATTTTATTTGTGTGTATTTATTTGTGTGTCTCAGGGCCCCTTCACAGATGGCCGAGCAATGCCGGGTTGGTGGTGGTTTGCTGATCGGTTCGCAAGACCTTGGGCTGGCAAAGTCAATGTAGTTCGAGTGCTTAGCGAGCATGTTTGAGTCAACTGTGGAGATAGTCGGTGCGATCCGCTTGCACACTGAGCACATGCTCATACGCAGAGGAAGAGCGCGTGGCAGAAAGAGGGAATGAGCGAGAGGGGCAATGCCATCGCGCAAAGCACTGACACCCTGGCTCTCACTGGTTCAGACTGGATGTACGTACAGGCTCGCAGCACGGCGTACGCCACGGCCAGGAGAGGTGCCAGATGTTGTCTAGCGTTGTCCCCGCTTTGTTCTGAGACGCATGATTGCACCTCGGGACATTAGAGATACACATCGTGAAGTGCAACGCAACCAGCGGTTCCCGCCATTCCAGGCACCCCCGTGCGGCTCGGGTGGCTGAGTGCTGAGCCAGCGCGTGCAGCGTCGAATTCGTACATAGTTGCAGCGTGTTGCAGAATTCGACAGCTGTTGATCGAAGACGCCTACGGCGAATCACCGCCGCCCCCTGCCTTTTTGGAAGCGCCGATGTGGCCGAATGTTGAGGCCAGACCTGCCAAGGCATAGGACCATGTGTTCCCCGAATCGGTTTGGAAAGCCTTCGGGGAAGACGTGGGCATCTTGAAGGTCATCTTGGCCGTCTTGGAGGCCTCTTGGGCGATCTTTCGGCGATCTTTGGGGGCTCTTGGGCCGTCTCGGGCCGTCGGAAGGCCGAAAAGAAGGACATGTCAAAATCCGTCGAAAACCTTAGGAACATCAGGTTTTTGGCATTCTTCTGGCCTTCCTGGAGGCCCTCTGGCGGCCTCTTGGGCCGTCTTGGGCCAGCTTCGAGCCAACTTCGGCCATCTTGGTGGGTTCCTGGCACGTCTGACGCCGTCGGGAGCCGTCTTGGGGGCCTTTCTGGGCCAACGGGGGACCCTCTTGGGGCGCTTCGGGGCCGTCTGGAGGCCATCTTGGGCGTCTTGGAGGCCATCTTGGGCGTGTTGGAGGCCTCTTGGGCCGTCTTGGGGCCCTCTTGGGGCCATCTTGGAGGCCACTTGGGCCGTCATGGGGCCCTCTTAGGGGCCTCTTGGGCGATCTTGGGGGCCTCTTGGGCCGTCTTGAGCCGTCGGAATGCCGAGAAGAAGCAAATTCCAAAATCCTTCAAATTATCCCGGCAAAGCAACCTAACAGCGATATGTAGAAGCATATTTGAAAGCATTCCCCTTAAGATTCAGATGGCAATCCAGTTGTAGAATTCTGCTGTTCTCGCAGTCGTAGTCGCATTCGCGATGACAGTCGCAGCGGCAACGGCAGTCGCAGTCACAGCCTCAGCCTCAGCCTGCCTCAGCCTCAGCCTCAGCCTGCCTCAGCCTCAGCCTGCCTCAGCCTCAGCCTCAGCCTGCTTCAGCCTCAGCCTCAGTCTGCCTTCAGCCTCGGCCTCAGCCTCAGCCTGCCTCAGCCTCAGCCTGCATCAGCCTCAGCCTCAGCCTCAGCCTGCCTCAGCATCAGCCTGCCTCAGCCTCAGCCTCAGCCTGCCTCAGCCTCAGCCTCAGTCTGCTTCAGCCTCAGCCTCAGTCTGCCTTCAGCCTCGGCCTCAGCCTCAGCCTGCCTCAGCCTCAGCCTGCCTCGGCCGCAGCATCAGCCTGCCTCAGCATTCAAAATGTGGCCCAGGAATGGAGTTCTGGGAACTAGAAGAACACGAAGTGGCCTACAGTTGGCTCCGGGCATTCAAAATCATGCCCAGGAATGGAGTTCTGGGAACTCGAAGAGCACGAAGTGGCCTACAGTTGGCTCCGGGCATCCAAAATGTGGCCCGGGAATGGAGTTCTGGGAAATCGAAGAGCACGAAGTGGCCTACAGTTGGCTCCGGGCATCCAAAATGTGGCCCGGGAATGGAGTTCTGGGAACTCGAATAGCACGAAGTGGCCTACAGTTGGCTCCGGGCACTCAAAATGTAGCCCGGGAATGGAGTTCTGGGAGGTCGAAGAGCACGAAGTGTGTGACTGTTGACGAAAAACGAGCCCGGCTCTGTTCCCGGTTCTCCAGAATGTGGCCCGGGAATGGAGTTCTGGGAGGTCGAAGAGCACGAAGTGTGTGACTGTTGGCGAAAAGCGAGCCCGGCTCTGTTCCCGGTTCTCCAGAATGTGGCCCGGGAATGGAGTTCTGGGAGGTCGAAGAGCACGAAGTGTGTGACTGTTGGCGAAAAACGATTCCCGGTTCTCCTCCCCGGCACCCGCCCAGACCCCCCTGAGGAGTCATGATGCTTTCTTTTGACCCTACTAGAAACCTATCAGCAAAAGCTGTTAGGTAAAAACCCCAGGATAATCAATGATTTTGGCCTCTTCGGGCCCTCCTGGAGGACCTCTTGGAGGCATCTTGGGCCGTCTGGGAGGCCTCTGGGGGGCCTCTTGAGGCTATCTTGGGCCTTCTTGGGCCGTCTTGGACTCTCTCAGGCCGTCTTGGAGGCATCTTAAAGCCATCTTAGCCGTCTTGGAGGCCATCCTGGCCGTCTTGGAGGCATCTTGGAGGCCATCTTGGAGCCGTCTTGGGCAGGAAAGTAGGGAATTGAGGTCCTTGGCAATCCTCCTGGGACCCCGGCGGGACGCGCCGGAGCCCCAGGGGGAGTTCTTTTGGAAAAATAACCAAAACCAAAACCGTAATAGTTTGGCACGCCAGGCACCCCTGCGATGAATCGACAGGGGGCGGCGGATTGGCCTTCGGTCCATCCCGCCACCGTGCTTGGGTTGTGGGTCCAAGGGCTACAGTCGGCCCGGATTAGTAGGTCGACCCTGCCAAATCAAGGGTACCTTTTTGTGTCCTGTGTCTCGCGACCCGTGCCTCCTGCATTCCTATGGCAGTGTGACCCTCGGAAGGGTCTTCTGTCCTCTCGCGTGTCCTGTCCAATGAAGTCCGACTGTATCGGGGCCCTCTGGGCCCGTTTTGGGTCCACCCCCCCAGGAAACGTGAGAACTGCAGGCCCAGGCCCCCTAACATTCCATTCTAAGGACTGGGGGCCGAGACTTGACAAGTGTGGTCTCCAAGGCAGGGCGGGCCGAGAGCCGCAGCTGCGCCGTACCCCTTAGCTGCGTCGTGCGATGCAGGGTTCTGTTCTCGATGCCTCTCCGTCCTCCTGCTCTGGGGCCTGGGTGCACTGCAGCGCGTGCCTCGCGGCACGGTGGCGGCTCATCTTCGTCTGCTGCAGCCTCCAGCGAGTGGGCGCTCTTGCCCCAGCTCCCGCCGCCCCCCCCCGTCTCGAGGCAGCCTCCCGTGTTCCCTGCACGCAGCGCCCGCGCGCTCCGTCCAGCGGGCCCGCGCTGATGGGTCTGTTTTCCACCACCACCACCACCATAAGTTGGAGGGGGGGACGAGGAGGAGGACGAGGAGGAGCAGGACGGAGAGGAGGAGGAGGAGGAGGAGGAGGAGGAGGAGGAGGAGAATGAGGAGGAGGAGGAGGAGGAGGAGGAGGAGGAGGAGGAAGAGAGAGGACCCCCTCCACCTCTAACTTATGGTGGTGGTGGTGGTGGTGGTGGTGGTGGTGGTAAACAAGCTCATCACGCGCAGCGCCAGTGCTGGTTGCAGTGTTGGGAAGAACTTGGCATGGCTGCTACAAGTGCATTTTTTCTCGACGGGGATCATCGAGGAGCATATTGGCTCATCTTGCGAACCAGGAAAAGTTGCCGGTGTTGAGAAGAAGGCGCAGAGCTCCCCGTTCCCCGCTCTGCCTGCTTCGTTTGGGCTGCGGCAGGTTGGGGTCGTGTCGACCTGCGGCGACGGCGCCGCCTGCGTTCAACGTCGAACGCCGCTGGAGACCCAGAATTTGTCGATGTTGCACGACTTGGCGTTTCGGAAACGGCCAATCGTTCAAGGCTGAACGATTCCCGCGGTGTCAGGAGAACCAACGCCGGGGTCGTCACGACACAAACCTGCCGTATCCAGGGTCCTCAAGCAGGGCACCCGAATGAACCACGGTAGACTTGGTCCGGGTAGGGCTCTGTTTGGTGCCCCCAGATGTGATCAGGGAATCCCTGGAGCCGTTACATCCAGGATGATTCCTGTTTAAGGCAAGTGCTGGACAGCTCTACATGGGGCAGCGTGTGATCCAGGAAAAATTCAAGTGGAGTACACTCCACTCCTTTAAACTAGACATCAGAAACCGACCTAGTCTGGCCGAGATTTAGTTTTACCGAGTCTAATTTTACTGAGCCAGGGCCTGAATATCCAATCGCTTCGCTCACTCCGCCGGCCCATGTTGCATGATCGCTACTGCTTCGCCGTGGGCCCAGGGCCATTGTGGCGCCGCCGAGAAGGAGGAGGAAGATGAGGATGGGAGAGGGGAGGGGAGCAGGAGGAGAGGATGAGAAGGAGAGGAGGAGGATGAAGATAAGTAGGAGGAGGAGGAGGAGGAGGAGGAGGAGGAGGAGGAGGAGGAGGAGGAAGGGGAAGGGGCGGAGGAGGAAGCCTCTCGTTGGCATCTTGTGTTGCTCTTGGGGCCAAACAGGGTCGTCGCCAAGATGCTTCTTTGGGAGGCCTCTTGGGGTCTTTTGAGAAGCCGTTCGGGGGCGCCTGGGAGGCATTTTTGAACTTCTGGGGCCTCTTGGGGCCTCTTTTGGGCCTCCTGGGGGCTCCTGGGGCCTCTTGGGGGCCTCTTGGCGGCATCTTGGGGCCTCTTGGGGGCCTCTTGGGGGCCTCTCGTGGCCTCCCCTTTTGGGCGGAAGGCTCGAATTTTCGGTTCGTGGTCCCCCTCTTGGGCCCCTCTTGGGGCCGTCTTGGGGCCGTCTTGGGCCGTCTTGGGCGCCTCTTGGGCCGTCTCGGGGCCCTCTTGGGCCCTCTTGGGGCCCTCTTGGAAGCCTCTTGGCCCGTCTTGGGGCGCTCTTGGGGGCCTCTTGGGCCGTCTTGGAGCATCGGATGGCCGAAAAGGCGACAAGGCCAAACTCCTTCCAAAACCAAAGTAAAATTCATGATTTTGGCCTGTCGGGCCCTCTTGTGAGGCCTCTTGGAGGCCACTTGGAGGCCTCTTGGGCCGTCTTGGGGTCATCATCGGCGTCTTGGAGCGCTCTTTGGGCGTCTCGGGGGCCTCTTGGACCGTCTGGGGGACCTCTTGGGGCCCTTTTGGACCGATTTGGAGCCCGGGCTCTGAAAAAGAGTTCCGGCATCCTTGAACAGGACTTGCCGGGAGTCTGCCAGGGTACTTTTCGTCCGTGGACCCCCAGGGCCCGCCCCACGCGCGCGAACTAGAAAGATTGTTTACCAGCTTCCGGAGATCTTAGCACGCCTCTGGCCCGTTGGGACGGCGAATGAAGTATATGTTATCGGAGCTCGGGGGGCTTTGTTGGCCGATCGTCGGCGTCGTCGCAGCGAGTGGGAGGAGGTGGAGGAGGAGGAGGAGGAGGAGGAGGAGGAGGAGGAGGACGAGGAGGAGGTGGAGGAGGAGGAGCAGGAGGAGAAGGGGGAGTAGGAGAAGGAGGAGGGGGAGGAGGAGAAGGAGGAGGAGGAGGAGGAGGAGGGGGAGGAGGAGGAGGGAGGAGGAGGAGGAGGAGGAGGAGGGGAGGAGGAGGGGGAGGAGGAGGAGGGAAGAGGAGGAGCAGGAGCACGGGCAGGAGCAGGAGCAGGAGCAGGAAGAGCAGGAACAGGAGGAGCAGGAGGAGGGAATTTCCCAATGTGGCCGCACCTCAGATGGATCCTGCATGAGCCGATCCTTGGTCACTGGACTGACCCCAAATCGACCTCGGACTGATCCCACACTGACCCAGGACTAATTGAGCCCAGACTGACCCCGGATTGAGCCGAGACAGAGCCCAGAGTGATCCGGGACTGACCCCAGACTGACCTTGGACTGACCTCGGACTGACCACGGATTGACCCCGGATTGACCCCAGGCTGACCCCAGACTGACCCCAGACTGACCCCGGACTGCATGACCCCAGACTGACCCCCAGACTGACCCCAGACTGACCCTGGACTGACCCTGGAGTGGGACTGACCCCGGACTGATCCCAGACTGACCCCGGACTAACGACTAAGCCCAGGTTGACCCCAGACTAACCCTGGACTGACTGACGTCAGACTGACCCGAGACTGACCCCGGATTGACCCTGGACTGACCCCAGACTGATCCCAGACTGACCTCACCGACACTGGACTGACCCCGGACTGACCCCAGCTGGGGTCAGTCCAGGGCCAGTCCAGGGCCAGTCCAGAGCCAGTCCAGAGCCAGTCCAGGCTCAATCGGGGGTCAGCCGGGGGTCAGTCAGTCGCGGTCAGTCCGGGGTCAGTCCTGGATCAGTAGAAGTGCGAGGTCAGTCCTGGGGTCAGTCTGGGGTCAGTCCGGGGTCAATCCGGGGTCAGTCCGGGGTCAGTCCGGGGTCAGTCCGGGGTCAGTCCGGGATTAGTCCTGGGTCAGTCCAGGGTCAGTCCGGGGTCAGTCCGGGGTCAGTCCGGGGTCAATCCAGGGTCAGTCTGGGGACAGTCCGTGGTCAGTCCGGGATCAGTCCAGGGCCAGTCTGGGGTCAGTCTTGGGCCAGTCAGGTGTCAGTTTAGGGTCAGTCCGTTGTCATGCAGGGTCAGTTCGTTGTTCAGTCGGGGGTCAGTCTGGGGTCACTCAGGAGTAGCTCCGGGATCAATCCGGGGTCAGCCCAGCTAGATTGACCCCGATAGCTCCGGAGCCTGGAGTGACCCGGAGTGACCGTGCAGACCGACCCTGGAATAACCCTGAATGACGGATCAAAGTCAGCGCAGCCGAGCCGACCGTCACATTACTGCGAGGTCAACACGTATTTCGGGGCGCCCAAGGGGGAACGAAAGCATTCGCATATTGAAGTATGTTATAGGAAATGAGAATGCGAGCGGGTCGATCTAGTTTTCGGAATTACGCAAGTCGGGGACCTAAACTCCCGATCTAGTTCAGCCGAGACCTAATTTGTTTCACCGCTTAAATGTCTAGCGAGCGGAGACTGTTATCCAGGCCGACTTCGGCGCGAAAGCGGGAGGTCCGAAAAACAGGACTCATCTCTGGCCACCCCTTGCCCTGATAACTCGGGGCTCTGATCAAGAGCGTTGTATCAGGGCTGGACCTAAACGCTGTTTTGCTGGACTTCGGCTGTGCTTTGTTTTCCGTTCTGGCAGGGAGGTACGGTACAGGAAAAAGCAGGTAGAGCAAAACGAAAAACAAGACGATCACAAAGAACAGCAACGTTAGGTCCGCCCGACGGCGTCGCGCCGGGGGGGGGGGAGGGCAGAGGGGGCGGGCCTTCTCAGGCCTCCCGCCTCCCTTTCTTTGTGTATTTTGAGCATGCCCCGAAGGCGCAGAGGGCGGCTCCGAAGGCCAGAGGGCTTCTGAGACGCCCCGCCGCCTTCTAAGCAGTGGCGGAGCGTCCCGGCGTGCCTGTGGGCCTTCCAACCTCTGTTCTGAGAACCATCCCGGTGGCCCCTAGGAGAGGTGATCAGAATATGTCTGACCGGGATTGGCTTGTCTTAGTACATCTTGCTTATGTTCAAAGAACAGATCGGGGGCAACGATAGGGGGGATAGGCGTAGGAGGGGATGCATCGACCCCCAATCGCCCATTGATCGCCGATAGGGGCCCAATAGCCCCAACCTGCACAGGAAGGTGCGGATTCACTATCGGGGTCCTATCGCTGATCTATCGGCGATGTATCGCCGATTCCAGGTCGATGCATCCCCCCCTATGCCAGTCCCCCCCTATCGTTGTCCCTCAACAGAACTTGGTTTCTGTTCTTTGAACATTTTTGGGTTCTACGAAAATGTCGTGGTGGGCCCATAGGACGGCCGGGACGCTCCCTGCTCAAGCCTCCTGCGAAGGCCTGCCTTTCGGCGCGCCGCCGACTGCAAGAAGCGGGTGCCGACGCCGACCGGGCCACGCCTCCCATGCGCCCCTCCTCCTCCTCCTCCTCCTCCTCCTCCTCCTCCTCCTCCTCCTCCCCCTCCTCCTCCTCCCCCTCCTCCTCCTCAAACCCTACAGTCGGACCGCGGAAGAAGAAGGAGCCCTTTTCGTTGGGGAGGGGCTCGGTGTTCCTGAACTGTTTCCAGCTGTTCTCGGGTTGTCCTTTGGTTTTTCTCCATGGGAGATCGAGGTGGAGCTTCTTGAACGAAAAGGGGCCTCGTTCCTTCTTCAGGGCCTCCTTCTGACAGCGCCTCGACTGTACGCTGACGATGGTGTTGCGCCTCCCCGAGAGTAGCTCCCCCGCCTCTCGGCGGGGGGCGAGGGACGACGAGAGGCAGGGCGCGCTGCCGCTCCCATCGCCTCCGGGAGGCCGCCAGAGAAGCCCCAGAGGAGCTTTTGGCCGAGCGAGGCATGCAAAGGCAGCGTGGTCTCGATGGGTCTGGTCGAAGGATGACGACGTGGTCACTTCCAAGGAACGAGGCCCCTTCTTGTTCCAGAAGTTCCACTTCGATCTCACATGAAGACCCAAGGAAAACCTGAGAACAGTTGAAAACAATTCAGGAACACTGAGCCCCTCCCCAACGAAAAGGGCTCCTTCTTCTTCCGCGGCCCGACTGTCGAAGGATGACGACGGGGTCACTTCCAGGGAGGGTCCGAGGGAGCTCCGAGGCGACCCCGAGAGACTCCCAAGAGGGCTCCAACGGGCGAGCATTAAGACGGCACAACAAGCCGTCGCACACGAGGGCCTTCTCAAAAGGCAGGTTGCTAGGCCGTCTTGGACCTTCCTGGGGGACGGTAGGCATGAATCGAAGACACCTGCGGCGAACCTTTGCCGCCCCTTGCCGTCTGGAAGAACCCATGTGGCCAAACCCTTTGGGGAACACCTTGGGGAGGAAGAGGGAGGTGTGGAGGACGAGGAGGAGGAGGAGGAGGAGGAGGAGGAGGAGGAGGAGGAGGAGAAGGAAGAGGAGGAGGAGGAGGAGGAGGAGGAGGAGGAGGTGGAGGAGGAGGAGGAGGAGGAGGAAAAGGTCGACGAGGAGGCCTCTTGGGGTTCCCCTGGGGGCCTTTTGGACCACACCAGCAGCTCCAGATCAGACCCCTGCCGCTGAATCTTCGCCACGCGGGGGGCCATGAGCCCCCGACCCCGGCTTCGCGCGGGAGCTTCTGGCCCGGGGCCGATCCTCCGGGGGCCCCCGCTGGCGTCCCAGGCCGCCGAGGCTCGAGCGGGTTCCTTCTGCCGTGTGCCCTTCGCCGATCCTCGTCTGCACCGTCCAGCGGCCCTTCCCCCCGCCCCGTCGGGCATCCCCCGACGCCTGCTCGACGTCGAGAACCGTGCGGCTCCTGTTGCCGGGCGCCTTCTGCCGATCCCCTGCTGCACTCTCCAGGCTCCCGCCCTCCCCGTCACACGCTTTTAGATATCTGCCCGGCAGCGGTACCGTCCCGTTGGTCTGCTTGGCCGCGCGCCGATCGTACAGACAGCGCAGCGCCGGCGCCTGTTTCGGGGCGGCAGTGAGCCAGCATGAATGTCTTGCTCCATGCATGGAGCATCAACGTTACCTCCCGAGTGAGTTCGTGTGCTGCGTCGGCCCGAGCTCGCCTTTTCGTGCTTCTGCGCTCGGTCGCGATGTTCATTCACGTAGGGCGTGGATGCAGGGCAGTGTGTGAGCAGGGAGGCAGCGGGTTGGCAGCGCGAGCGCTGGCCACAGCGAGAAGTGGCAGGGCAGCCTGCCCGAGACCCGCGGGCGGCAGCGCTCCAAACAACCCGGCGCCCTCTGGACTCGTTGTCAGTCTGCCCGCGCGTGTCAGGGGCAACGATAGGCGTGGCACCGCTCGGGCGCGTGCATTTTTTACTTCGGCGAGGACCATCGAGGAGCATCTTGGATCGTCGAGCCAAAGATCCGCGCGCGAAGCCGAAAACTGCACGGGGAATGGACGTCCGAGCGACGGCGAGTAGGGGGGATAGGCTCAGGGGGGGACGCATCGACCTGCACTCGTCCATTCATCGCCGGTAGAGGTCCGATAGCCCACCTCGCAAGGGACCGTGCGGATTCGCTATCAGGGGCCTATCGCCGATACGACGCGTGTGACCGCAACTCGGCGGCGAGCCTGGGGAAAAGTGAGAGGGGGCGGGCCTTCTCGGAAGGCTCGGAAAGCCTCGGGCCTTCTGATAAGCCTTCCCTAAGCCTTCCCCGAAGCCACAGGCAGCTCCTCAGAAGGCCGGAGGGCTTCTGAGAAGCCCCGCGCCTTCTGAGAAGGCCTGCCTCGCCCCACTTCTCGCCAAGGGTCGCCGCCGAGCCACGGTCGTGTCGGGCGACGAAATCCACACATATCCACTGCTCCCTGGCCAGGGCCATCCTGAACCCAGGAGCTGTGTACACGCTCTCCTGGCCAAGCCAGGAGGGCGTGGCGTATACACCGCTGCTGGGTTCAGGATGGGCCTGGCCAGCGAGCAGTGGCTATGTATACAGTCAACCCGCATAGTAAGGATGGGCAACCTTCCCAAGGGTACCCTTGCAGCCTTGCCCCTTCGGCCCATCCGTAGCCACTCTCGCTGGCCAACCTCGTTCGGAAAACGTACACATCCGCCTCCAAGGCCCTTGCACCCTTACCGCGCATCGAAGAAGAAAAACCGCCACAAACAGAATCTGTTCGCGTTCCGCGCGGATTTCTTGGATCTGCGCTGGCCCCCCCGGCTGCGTGGCCCCCCCCAGCTGCGCCTCCGGCGCCGCCCCTGGCGCGCTCCGCGCGCCCGGCTGCGCGCTCCGACGCGGAGCCCTCGGGCCCAAGCTGCAGACGGTACGGTTGAGGCTGTTACAGTAGGTCGACATTTCCAAATCCAGGGTGCCCTTGTGGCCGTTGTGTTCGCGACCCATGCCTTCTTACATTCCCATGGCCATGTGGCCCTCGCAAGGGTCTTGCGTCCTCTCGCGTGTCCTCTCCAAGCAGCCCCGACTGTATGCTCGGTAGCAGCCCAAGGGGTGCCCGCCAACGACCTGGCGGGCACAGTCTGCTGGCGGCCTGGCTCATGCGGAGATGGCGCGCCGGCGACGCCAGCAAAGGCGAGAACGACTCTGAAGCACCGAGGAATCCGGCAGCGCCGCAGGACTTGACGGAGTTCAACACTGAACGATCGGTGCCGCGATCGGTTCAAGCCTGAACGATTGACGCGGTGTCAAAACCTTTGCTTAAGTCGGGCCTGTCCCTCTACAGGAGGGACATCCAGAAATAATAAAAAAATAATATGGGGACGATTATGCTCGTATTTTCGACTATTTGGGGGCATTTTTTTAGTATGTCTCATTTTTCGTTCAAAATCGGCCTGTAGGGGGACATGCCCGACCGAAAACTTTGCTCGCGCCGACGCCGCAAGGACTTGCGGTATGTTCGGCAGCAGCCCGAGGGATGCCCGCCAACGACTTGGCGGGCACCCTCGAGTGGCGGCGCGGCTCCTCTGGGGGGCGCCCCAAGAGGATTCTTCTCGGGAGGGAAAAACACACAGACACAAGTCATCGTCGATCTCCCAGTCATATGGGGAAACATGGGAAGTGGGGGGGAATACGAAAACTTAGAAAATATGGAAAAATATTGGGAATCCTTTTATTCGTGCGTATTTATTAGCGTGTCCCTGGGCCCCTTCAGAGGATTCTTCACCCCTTGGATGACTCTTGTGCCCACCCCACGCGACACTGCCAGGAGAGCGCTTCTTATGCCCTGGCGATGACAGGCGTCACCGGGAGGGGGGAAGGGGCGGGGTAGGTCATTGTCACGTCTCGCGCTGGCGCCGTCTGGGAAAGTCTTAGAGTAACTACAGACAACTCGGACGTCAGCACGACTCGTGACGCTACCTGGGGGAGCGGTGGACGGCCGGGGCTGGCAACGGCCGCTTCCGCGAAAAACAAGACATCGCTCTCCAGGACCAATCGACACCCAGGGCATTTTCGATCGAGCAGGACGATGGCCAGCGCGCCCGACGGCGCCGCAAGACACGCCTCCTCGCGCTGCGAGGGCGGTGGGGGCGCCCCGAGCGGCGCCACCTCTTCGTCGCCCTCGCCCGGCGCCCCCTTCCGGCCCGGCGAGCCCTCGCCCTCGTCTTCCGGCTCCCCGTGGCAGGGTTCATTTCGATTCGGCCGATTCGATTCGATTCGATCTCGATGGATTCCGATTTCGATGCGATTTGGGATTCCGATCCGAGTCTTTCGGAAAGAGGAGAAAAAGAACGCCATTAACCTAAATTTAAGGAGATGTCGTATCCCTCGAGGCTTATGTTTTTTGATCTCAAGGCTATGTCCTGGCCACGACTTAAGACATGCCTTGGGGGAGTGGCACTTTCATATACAGCCTTTTCACAGGGCAGAGTGGCACTTTCACAACGGGGTAGAATAGTGA